ACTTGTCTCCCTTCATGAATTCGCTTCTGGCTGCCGCTGCCGCCTTGTCTCCCAAGCTTGTCTCCTTCATGATTTTGCTGTTGGCTGCCTCTGCCGGCTTGTCTTCCAAGCTTGTCTCCCTTCATGATTTCACTCTTGGCTGCCGCTGCCGCCTTGTCTCCCAAGCTTGTCTCCCTTCGTGATTTTTCTTTTGGCTGCCGCTGCCGTCTTGTCTCCCAAGCTTGTCTCCCTTCATGTCTCCCAAGCTTTTCTTCCCTTCATGATTTCGCTCTTGGCTGCCGCTGCCGCCTTGTCTCCCAAGCTTGTCTCCCTTCATGATTTTGCTCTTGGCTGCCGCTGCCGCCTTGTCTCCCAAGCTTGTCTCCCTTCATGATTTCGCTTTTGGCTGCCGCTGCCGCCTTGTCTCTCAAGCTTGTCTCCCTTCATGATTTCGCTTTTGGCTGCCGCTGCCGTCTTGTTTCTCAAGCTTGTCTCCCTTCATAACTTCGCTCTTGGCTGCCTCTGCCGGCTTGTCATTTTCTTGCCTGCCTTTGACGCGGATGCTGTTTTAGATGATTTAGGTCTCGTTTACCTTTTCCATCCTTTTCCCTGCTTTGAGTGGGATGTCTCCCAAGCTTGTCTCCCGCTCTTGCCATGCTATCCTTTTCTTGAAGTGCTATCTGGGTCTATGCCGGTATAATTTTTCCACCCTTTTTCACTTGAAACTACACCCAAACACCTGGACCAAGCATGCTTGGCGGCCGAACGGCAGAACGAAGCGGCCTGGCCTGGCCAAAAGCCAAGCTAGCTTATTGGCTCGATCCGATTCCCCCTTTCTCCAAATCCCAAATGACACATTGGATTTGTCTTCGTCTGAGGTCCCGAAGGAGGCGGGTGTATGCCAAAGGTGTTAGGGTTGAGGGTTTAGGCGTCTCCTGTCTCTGGTCACCACACAACGACTTGGACCCGACCGTCCACCGAGCGCTCTGACGCGGTCTGACGCGGTGCGGTCTTACGCGCGGTCTTACGCCCCAAGGAAGCGTAGACATCCGGAGAGGGCTGACCGAACACCTGCTTCTTTTCTAATATGTGCAATATAGAGACTCCCCAAAGAGAGGAATACACAACTATATACAGCCAGATGGAGTCGTTCAAGGGTTTCCCTCTTCACACCGATCGATGGGTGCCTCCCATGTGCCACCCGCTGCGATTCATCACCGATGACGAAAAGGGGGCCCGCCAGATGACGAAAAACACATGTAAACAGCATGTTGCCCAATGAGAAATGAATTTGTATATTCCAAAACAGCTGCATGTTTTTGCATGTTGTTTGCACTCACACAAATGGCCCAACCTCGGGGTTGGACCAAGCAAACATCGGGTTTCAGAAACAACCCCAGGTCTTCTGCCAGTAGGGTATAATATAGCTGCCTGAAAAACCGTACCTCGATCGACACGAGACGAGGTCCGCACGATTTCAATCGCGCTTCATAGGCCTTCCGGCGTCAAACAACGGGTCATGATGAGATCAAAAAGGGGGGCTTTTCTTGCATCATCATCAAATGCCGGATGGAATCATTGCGAAGCCTCACCCCTCAAAGTGACACCGCCCGGAACCTTTTCGGAGGAACATTGTCTCTCTTGTCAAAGCCTCCTGACAGTGGAGAAAGATTCTTGGTGGGGAATGCAAACACCAATAGAAGCTTGCCAGGTTTGGTTGGAGAATCAACCCCATGTTCAAAGGCAAAACATTGCTGCCCACTGAGACCAAAGCTTCAATGAGATTCAGGGGTCCAGGCACTGACCAATACAGGCACAAAGAGGGAGGGAAGATGTCAGTCAAAGACCGAACCCTTCGATGGACATTGAAACTTGATAGACGTAGGAAAAGATGCACATGAATTCAGAGGTTTACTAGGGAGAAAGTTGTCGTTATACGTTACAAGCAAAAATTGCTAAAATCCCCAGGGTCAATCTATATAGCTCTCATGAGCAAATAAGCTTCCCAGGCCGAGCACGCCTCTGCCTGTTTCTTTAAAGCAGTCACGTCCATGGCACACTTCCTTGGTGCGTTCGTTGGCAGGCAAACACCCCCTGCGTTCGATTCCTCCACAGAGGTGGGGAAGAAACCATGTACGATATATGTTGGGTCTATCCTATTACCTGTAGCAGTGGATGATGATGGTTTAGTTGCAGGCCTTCTTCAAAAAGAGTCATGATTGTATACTGACTGTTACAGATAAGAACGGACAAACCCTAATGATATATAATATGGATATGATCTTGGGAATTCCTTCGAGTCGATCATGTGTTGCGAGGTGAAAGAGAACCACTTCGTTGAACAAACCAGGCCTGTGTAGGGACCTCTGCCGCAGTCCATCCCGCATAGGCGGGCATAGAGCAAGGTACCGGGCCCAACCAAAATGTTAAGCGACGATTGGACCATTGATAAATCATTGGTACAGCCGGAATTGGACAGCTAACCCAAGTGGGTGCGTCAGTGTGTCAAACAAATGGGACACGAGTACATACAGTAAATGAGATGGACTCTCAAACAAATCAACAGCTTCAACAGAAATGTGGGGGTCTTTCTGTGTTTGAGAAGACTGCGAAACTGAGCAACAAGTGACATGTCAATGTGTGTAAAAGAAACAAACACAACAACAGTTGTCGTTGTGAGCCATCTCTTCACCTCAAACTTGGGGGTTGGTTCATCAGCGACTGGTCTGTGGTCCAAGTTTCTGCTCTTTGAGTTCGAGCTCGGAGATCTCCTTGTCCGTTTGATGCAACGCCTGCTCCAACGCCTGCAGAGCTTGCAGAGCACGGCGTGTTCTTCGGACTGGACACTGATGTCGGACTGGAGTCCGAGCTCAAAGCGGGAGTCTTTGCTGCGAAGAAACGCTGAAAAGGATCAAATAGACCCAACATGGTTCAAAAGACCGGGGGGTGCGGTCTTCAAACACAACATTCAAACATACTTTCAAGTTGTTATTATACATGATGGGAAAGCCTTTGAGCGGATTGGCTTTGAAGGCTTGCAGAGAAGCTGCAAACCAAATATCTACTCGAAGCAACCTGCTGGTTTGGTCCAGTCGAATACATTTGTTCTTTGCTCCTTTCGTCTCTTCTCTTGCATTGGTCCGCTCCCCATTCCCCCCATACTTGCACATTGATAGTACGTCCTCAAAAGCCCTTTGAGGCTACATATGGACTTCAAAACGCTGTGCCCACATCTCTGTGTATACACACCCAACTGTTTAATACCAAGTTCATACTATTTCATCCAAGGTTTTCAACAGATTCAGGACTTCAAAATACTTCAAACGTTCTTTAGTTCAGCGACAACAGGTCCGGTCCTCAAAGCGAAGCGGGCTGGTGGCGAAGCGGCCTCCCTTTCTTGGCGAATGCCCTGTAGCCGCGCGTTGGCCTCTTCATATGCCTGACGTGTCGGCTGGTCTTTGGGCTGCCCAAGGACTGGCCAGGGACCAGCAGGGGACCAGTTGCATCCAGTGACTTGGAGTGCCACAAACAAGATCAAACAAGGGTCAGCACGTGTCCAACTTGGGGTGAGTCATGCGTCAGAATTAGTCAAAGTTGCACATGGGCGGATATCTGGCATAAATGAGAAATTGGACGTCCTTGTATTTGCATTGGCTGCGTTCACACTGGTCAAGAACACAAATTTACCAGAAAAAAAACACAAATTTATGTATCGCGTTTGGAAACAAACAGTGGAACACATCCCAATCTCGGTGGGTTGGCATGTGTACTTTCAAAACCTGCTGTGTCAAGACTGACGTGGGTGTACATGTCAAATGAATCTATTTCTGCAAACAAGGAACTATTGTATACCATTGTTGATTACTATTAATGTATATACACACTTGCACGAGAAACCATGTTGTTTGTTTTGGTGTCCCTTCATGCATGGTTGGAACAACATGCAGCATCTATTTATGTAGTTTTTTTGATTCGCATGTTTTAACACACCCGTCCCCAAACACTCCATGGGACTGGATGATTTGGAGTTCTACTACAACCCACACCCAACCAGCAATGACACTGGTCGACGGTCGGACGGCACCGGTCGGCTCCTGGACGAAGCCCTTCACTTCGTCTTGGGAATAGCGTGACACGGAGGCCCTGGAAAGACCGTGCGATGGGAAGAACAGGCGCCAAAACTGCACGGAAAAAAATCAACACAAAGTTCGTTTGGCGCAAACCTCCCCCAAACAACATATTTTGATTTAAAAAAATGAGTGCGTGTAGAATTAATCAGAATCATAAGTGGTCCCTTTGCTATCCCTTTGCAAACAACATCTCTCTAACACAATTTTGCCAGGCACCGGCTCTAATCACACGCTGCCAATCAATGTTGCGAAGCCCATGTGATTCAGGTAGGTTTAGCGGTCTAGCTGATGCCCTCACAGAATGCAGCTGTGTCTCATTAATGATGTCCTGTTGATGATGCCCCACACAGTGCCAGCCCTGGTGGCTACGCAAGTTCTTTCAAGTCGTCGCTTTTTCTGAGTGCTCATTGCGAGTTCATCCGTGCTGATGTCATGATAGCATTCGCGGCTGCAGCTTTAACTGAAACTTCAGCATCTTAAACGCCACCTGCGCTGTTGAAGCTCACGGGATTCAAGAGTGACCTGTGTTCGGCTTTGCCTCTTGTCTCGCACCATTGTTGGCTCACCGTAGTGAGCATGAAGCGCACAGAAGCCTCACTCATCTGACAACAAGGGACCTGGGTAGTCTTTGATCTTTGAAGTACATGCCCCCATAGAGGTCACAAAGCTATAGTGCGCCTCAGAGAATCAAATCATCAGCACCTTTGCAACAAAGTCATGTATGAAGGTGATCTTGTGCAGCGTTTGTCGTGGCAATGCGTGTCTACTCAATGACACAAAAAATGAAGAGTCGAGTTCATCGGCTGACTTCGTTCCATCAACCTCCAAGCATCGTGGCAGCTGTTGCAAGTGAGAGCTATCTTAAACTCACATCTTCTGACCGAATTGCGAAGATATGTTCAAATCTGGGGGTGCGCGGAGCTCTCTATAGAAAAAAGCGCTTGGTATTCAAAACGAGGCCCTATCACCTGTGCAAATATGTGTAACTCCATCAAGGTTTTGAAAAGCGGACTTGAGAGGTAAATGATGTTAGCACCCTGTGTGAATGTTGGGAGTGCAAAACAAACATACACAATCATTGTCGGACACTCTCAGCCAACACACTGATTGGTGGATCTCTCTTACCTGTAGACTGTTCCCATCCAAGGGTCAGGGCACCGGGGTGTCGAATTGCTCAAACGGCAGCCGAAGGACATCACTGGTTCGCAGGACTCGCATGCCGTCGGCTCCCAATCCCGTGCTCAAACACATCGATCGATGGAGACACGACCACTTGATACCACTTGAGTATTGATCCAGGGTTTAGGGTTTTAGGGTTCAGGGTTTAGCAGAACTCTCACAGATTGAGACAGACCCTCCAGGCACTCTCTGATGTCATCCTCAGTCTCACCTTCGAAGGTTGGCGGCACACCAAGACATGCTAGGTATAGGCCCTATATAGGCCCTATAGAAGAATGACAAATCAAATCATTAGAGAGAAACTGAGAAACCATGAGAAACCAATCTTCTCCCTGTTTCTTCCACCTACATTAAAATCCCATTTGGAGACACTGTTTGAAGATGTTCGAAGGAACCCTCCGTTTCATCCGGGTGCGGAAGGAACCAACGACCTCACATGGCCCGAAGGCTTCACCGGCGGCGCTGTGGGTGGCGTCCACTGCTTGACCTAGCTGTGGCTTTAACCTGGAGCTTGCCTCCACAGGGGTTGCACTACAACAGAATTGTGGACCTTCCAACTGTGCAGGATTTCTGCCTTTTCATCCATAGAACCTGGCGAAAGGCAGAAATTCTGCACAGTTGGAAGATACAGGCTTACTAAGGAGCTCAACGTATGGTGCAACGAGCAAACCGGGTGCCATGACCCACAGCCGCCGCCGGGTGCCATCCCCCAGCCGACCACCCCAGCCTGGAAGCAGAGGAGTCCCATCAGTCGTGGGTTGCTTATAACCCCTAGGGCTCCAACCATCTCCTCAGGTTCGGTGGTTAGACCCCCCTGACATCCACCCCAACCATCTTCTCAGGAGGTGGTTGGAGCCCTAGGGAACATCATTTTATAACTGATATGGCATTCCGATATGGTACCAATGTGGGTTACTTACTCCCAATCCGTTGTGATTGGATAACTGGCAGATTCTGGGATACCCCCCTCACACCGGACATGCTTGAGAAGATGCTGGTCACCGGGGGGGTTACTGCAAGCCCAGCAGTTCTTTTAGGATTTGGATCAGGCTCCGCCGAGTCTAAGATCCAGAATTAGGACAGTCAGTCCGTTTCCTTGAGAAAAAAACATGTGTCTGAAATATGCCCAAACACTCCATGGGACTGCCATAGGACTGCAGATCAGGCCAGGGGTGGTTGACTGGGGGTCTTTCTGGGGCCGGCAGTCCGGCAGTCCCAGGCAGGTCGTGTCTTACATCTCTTTACAGCTCAGCCAGTCCAGGTCCGGAAGACCGGCAGATCGGTCGACCATACGAAGCCTCGAGGGAAGCGAGTCCGAGACTCGACGACCCGACCCGCAGCCGTCGAACGGTTGGACTCATCGGTCGGATCTCGTCCATTCTCCCAACTGCAGCGATCTAGGACGTCGTGGCATCGATTGAAGGCCTTACTTAATCTGAAAGCTAAAGAAGAATGCTGTTCAAACATAAAGATCAGGATATACACCTTGTGATCATTGATAGCCCTTTCCTACCTATCAAAAGAACAAAATGCCAAGCACTAACAGCTGTAGGCTGTCAATGGCTGTCACGCCTGAAAACCGTTAAGGGCTTTCCTCACCACGCCTGTTGGCTGCCGGTGGTACCGAAAAAGCCGCGCTCGCCACGCTGGCCGGCCGCCATCGGCGCGACCGACCGGGCCTCATGCCGCCGCTGGCCACCTTCCCTCCGCCGCCCGACATCGTGCCGCTGGTGTCGATCAAGCCACCCTGAAGCCTCGAAAATGCATGGTTCCAGCACCGGACTCGGAATGCACGGCGCGATAGGCTGCAGCAATGGAAAGCCAAAGCCAGAAGTCCCCCGTTTCTGGTGTCTTGAAATACAGTGACTGTAAGCACGAGTTCCGTGGAACACACGGACTGTCACCAACTGGTGCGTCAAGTCTGCGAATCCGAAACATCTAATTAAGTAGCCTTTGAGGACATATAGGTGGAAATCAAGCCCTAAAACCTGTATTGATATATAATTGTGATATCCCTCCTGCAGCAACAGGTGCAGGAATGTGCAGGATGTAACGGGTCTACAGTAGGAGTGATACATGAGCTTGTCACAATTGACCTACAGTCGGGCACTTGTGACTGGAGTATGGCTGATATCTAACATGTCAATGGTTCCGCTATTGGAATATCTTCGAGTGGCTTTTCATTGCAAACCTAACTTGATCTGATCTTGTATACATTGCAGCAACTACTAGTATGATTTTGTCCAACATAATTACTCACACACATACTGACAAAACTCAGCACCTATAACCTTTTCAGCACCCTTTCACGCTCCGTTTCACCCGGCCGCACCACGATGGCCGCAACACGATGGCTGCACCGGGAATCTCGTCCGAGCTGCGTGACCACACGATGGCGCGTGCGCCCCTGAAGGCCAATGCGCGTGGCCTGTTCCAGGTCCTTGGCCACCAACCTGAGTCCAAAGGCGCCACGGGAAACGGCTGCGGTCGCGACGCGAAGACGATGAACCAGTTGATGGAAATGGCAACTGGCGGTGAGGCATCGCCAACACAAGCTATTTTGGAGTTGCTTCAAGAGAATAGAAGGAACCATTTGGGTGAAGAGCAAAATCACAACCATAATATTCCAATGTTGGGGGGGTTCACATACTACAGGGAGACGTTCCGATGTTTCTCACCACAAAGTTTCGCAAGTTAGGAGGTGGGATCGGTAGATCCCAGTGAACACGAGCCACTGATTGTTTTTTTCCAATAAGTGAGCATATATCATATTATATATATATATGGTACCCCCCCAAATGTCTACCTCTTTTGGTTTTGATTGGTATTTACAGTCTTATATAGATGCATTGGGTCTATCCCATTATTAGTAACAGTGGAACATGATGGTTAGTAAAGGGCTTGCTCAACAAATAGTTGTGGTTAAAATGGTTACCGACTGTTACAGGTAACGGGACAGACCCAATTTTATGCATTTAAGGATGTTGATCGAAGATCAATCATAGAAGATCGGAAGATCCAGGACACCAGCATGGAACCTGAACACTGCCAAAATGAAAACCAAACGTTCCAAACCAACAATGTTGTAGAATTAGACCCACGAGTCTTGCGGCGTTGAACGCCGTGAGCACATGTGAACTCCCCCCAAATCACTGAGTAACTGGAAACATGTCCTGACAGAATCCCTTTCGACCGGGTGACATGGGAGGGCAACACCAAGTTTCTTGGCGGACATGGGGGCTCCAGGTACCTCATACTCAGAGTTGGTTTTGAACCCCCCAAATCCTGGCAACCCGCTGTCAAACTGGTGTTGAGGGCTTTGAGTGTCCAAACCTGTACTGTGCCATGGAGGGTCAACTCCTCCCAAAGTCCAATGATGGTTAGGGTAGGCCATCCATCTGTAACCCGCCATTCATCTGTAACCCAGGAAAAAACCTCGGAGGGATCTCTCTCCATCCATGCCACGTGTTTCCCAGTGCGAAGAAGAAGGCAGCACGGTACCTCGAGCGCCGATCAGTGGGCTTCATCGGCACATGTCCTCATGTCCCTCAAGAATCACCCACCAGCCAAAAGAACTCGAAAAGAGTGTGTCTTCAATCTTGGGACAGACCAACAGAGGCTGAAAGACCTTATAGGACCCTAGTGGTACATATGGGATGGGCTATAGGGTTCTTCAACCTCTGTTGGGAATGGCTGCTGGTGCCTTTGCGACATGTTCCCGTCATCCAGCGTCATCCAGCAGAGCTCTTATCAACCAAGCGCCTTCATCAGCCATCAGACATCAAACCCTGTTGAACAACCATCTGTTTGGCTACAACAAACAGGACACCGAGGATGAGGATGTGGGATCCAAAAAGAAGCCGACCACGTGCTGAAGTCGAGCCATGTTTTCGGTGCTTCATCCTCCTTTGTCCGCCGATCCGTCAGCGGGTGTGCAGCGTTGGTCAGCGGGTTCCTCAGAATTGAGACTTGAGAAGAAGTGATAGATTTTGCAAGTATACATATAATATAATAAGTATATACATGTCTTGAGTTGTGGCCCGAGTCATTCAGAGAACGCGTTGGTTGAAAGTTTCAGGAGCAGAATAAGTTAGTTTTGGTGATGCTACCTGCATGAAGACCATAGGCCTGGCTGCTGCGAAAAGGGCAAGATCGTTTGTCTCAAGCCGTTTTGATACTTCCAGAATTCCCCAGGGAGTCTGCCGGAACAAAAATCAAACATCCTTCACCCGAGTTGACCGGAACTGACCCCCTGAGGTTCCCGCTTTTTCCACCCTGTGTTTAGGTTGAAGGTTGTCATTCTCCCAACACAACGGTTGGATGCTCAAGGTTGTGATGTCAAACCTGGAAAAAGCAGGGAGCCCAAACCCCGAGTGAAGACCCGGGTCTCCCCATGTCTCCCATCCGGATCCTCGGCCGTGGCACTGGGGCTTCTCCGGTTGGATTAAGTCCACCAGCCTCTCCAGGACCGACCGCCGTCGCCAGCACCGGCTCCGTTCGAAGGCGAGGCTCCGATCGCTCGAGGAGAATTCGAACGACTGGTCCATGTCAGAGGCGTCCGATTCTTCGCCGGTGGCTGAAGTGGTGCGTGTGCCTGCAAATTCGTCGTTCGTCACTGCCCTGTGACACTCGTCAATGCGAACTTGGGTCAGTAAGTGCGAACTTGGGTCAAGTACGCCTGTTCTCGAAGCATTTTTTACATATGTTTACATCTCTTCGTGTTGTGCTATGCTACTGGCGCAACTGCGAGCAGCAGTTGTTCTTGGCCTACCATACCATATATACCCCACCAATGAAGCGTTTTCAAAACCTGGCGCCAACTCACGGGCTTGTCATGGAGTCAAATGTTGGACGGTCGTTCTATGACTGACAGGTCATATACTTCGGTTTGCCTAAAGAGCAGTGGAAAAAAACAACATATTCCCCAGGATTCACCCATAGGAAAACAATAAATCAACCAAAGCAAAACCAAGTGTGGGAAAACCTCTCTGAAGTCTGCATCATGTCCAGGATTCAAGTCACATGACAATGACTCACAAGGCTCGATTCAGTCGGATCCGATGTATGTCTGAAAGAACTACGTGACACACATGTGACGGCGTTCCCTCGTTGATCGATCTGTTTTGCTTGAAAAGAACTACTGTAATGCAGCAAGAAACCATTGTAGAGTGGTTTCAGAGTAGATGGCACAAACCCTCAAATGTCTTTTTGATGGGGGCCGGGGTCTCTATAAACCACCCACCTTGGGGATTGTGCCATCTACTCTGAAACCATTGTAGCCCATTCTCCCGTCCTGGGCGCGTTCTCAGGTGCGCCATTGAAAGAGTTCATATGCTTTGCCTCAAGCACGCAAGGACTGGGCAATCAGCTGAGGAGATTGGACAAGCATGCACCAAGCACAAAAGCAACAGGTAGGAGTTCCAAAATGGGCGACAAAATGCACTTCCGGCAGAACATCCTCCAGATGTAAATGGTCCCCAATTCTTAGAGATCCATGCGCCGCATATCCAAAATTGGGTTGACATCCGCAGGTTGGTCGATGAGCTTCTCAGCTTGAACGTGATGTTTCTTTGTGGGAAACATAGGCATGTGACCTTTGTGGGAATCTCTTGATGTAAATTCCACTTAACAGAACCAACCCATCCATGTATGGAATGTATTTATACCTAAATTGACCCTCAAAACACCTTAAAATCACCCTAATGTAAGCAAACCATCCCAACATATTGGAGTGGATCGTGCGAACATGTCTACCACAGTACGCGAACAATAGTAGCAATGGACCCAAGGGCGCCAGTTCTTAGAAGCTGCAGGTCTTTGAAGACCCAATGGCCGGAAACACATGAAGCGGCTTCCTCCAGACGCTCCAGACTCAAGGAGATCAAAGGGTCTTGAATCTTGAATCTCCTTCTCCAAGCGGTGTTTGTGTGCTAGACCAATTCTTCCTGCAAGTTTCCAGCCAATTGGCATCTAGCGGATCCAGTTACAAACTCTGTGGGAGCCTGATGGCATCATATCATGAGGAATATGGTTGTCAAACATCCAGGTGTCTTCTCTCTGATTCCTGTCTTTGTCATTGGAAACATCACAGCAACTGCTGAGGCCCCTGCTCTATCCTGCGGTTTTCGAGCGGGGGTTTGCCAATGGAATGTGGATGACCGTGAGCAGGGACTCTACGAATCATGGAGGTGGATACATGGCCCGACGGTGTCGTTTTTTTTGCTAACCAAGGAATCTTCGCTTCCACGGTGAAACGTTCAACACTGGCATTCAAGTGAACCGTTTCAAGCATGTGAAAATTGATGTGACCAATTGACAAATAACAAAGCTTGATTTGAGGGTCATGAGAGTGCAAATATTATATGGAAGTGTATCAAGCAAACGTTGTCTTCGAGGAAAAGGATGCCCCCCCGTTTGAGAACCAAAAGGCATTTCTTCCACGCTGCTGCTTCTGGCTCCAACCATGAACCCATCGAGCTTGTGCGCAGTATGATCCACAGAGAAGAACCCTCCACAAGTATCCATAACTGACCAATGCGAAAATCCATCGGTCCATCCAACACTGGTCATATTCCTATGTATGGTCATATAGTGACCCTATGTCGCTCAAAAAGTTGGTAGTGACAGGCCTCGTGATACGGGACATGTTGTTCGCCCATACTAAGTGAAGGAGCAAAACTCCGTCAGGTGTCTAAGCTGAAACCAGATTTTGGGACTTCTCATGGAAGGAATATTTGAAAGGACTTGTCTAAACTTGCTGAACTCACTGCCAGCATTCCTTTCTCCGCAGTCAATGACTTCAGCTTTGCCCCCATGAACTCATGGATAATCCTCACCAGAACTCGAAGAGCAACTCACTGCCCACATCTGGAGCTTGCAATTTAAACCGATCTGAAGATCCATCGAAGCCCATTCTATCCACTTTGGCCGATCCAGCGCATCCCGATCCCTTCTCCTGGATCTTCTGCATGCAAATGCAGGTGGTTCGGCCCAAATCCTGCACGGTTGCGGTGCGGTTGCACCGGTTTCCATCGTGGCAGGTGAAGCGAAGGTGCTTTGATTTTCTTGGCCATCTTAAAACTGAGTGTTCATATGTGTTCATATACCTGGATCTTCCAACTGTGAAGAATGTCTGCCTTCCGGCTGGTTCAATGGATGATAAAGCCGAAATTCTGCACAGTTGGAAGATCCACGTTTACATACTATAATCACTGTCAAGTAGAAGACATATCATTCAGCAAGGTTATCGCTTTCGACGGCTGCTTGTCGCTTTTGTAGTGTCTTTTTCCACAATGTCAACATCGCTGAACATATCCCAAAACTGCGGAAATATGATTACCACTTTTGAAGGGGGTCTATCGCTTTTGCAGTCGTAGCCCAATTCCTGAACTGCACGACCGTTCCAGGTTGGTTTTGGCAGTTGCTCATACAGCCAAATGAGGGGTCGTTCACAAGAAAGAATGGATAGACAAAGAAGTTCTTCATGATCTCATGATTCACTGTTCTCCAAAGGGGAGTCTGTTGGGCTCGCATGAACACTGAAAACACCAACACACACACACACACGTCACCCCACACCGGATGAACACACATACACACGTCGCCCCGAAACTGCTTCGGTGTCCAAGCCTGGCGTCGGATGAACTCGATCACCGCCTGGGCATCCTCGGTGCTTTCCACCACGATGGCGTCCAACATGCCGCAGGCCGTGGAAACGGCCACATCCTCGGGACAACGGATCCCAGCTCCGCGCTCCACATCGCGGAGCGCCCGCGCGTCTAAAGCCAGCGTCTTCTTCGGGTTTGGAGTTGGAGGACAGCCACACACCCGATGTTGGAGTCGTGGCCCACATATTGATTATAAGGTTCATATAGGGCCAGCCTTCCCGAAGAGCCAGGTCAATGATGGTTTATCACGAAAGGCTGAGGACAGTGTTCTTCTTTTTCAGTAAGAAGGGGATGAAGCTACAAGGTCTGGAGCCGAGAACTTGTAGAATCTGTTTGCAGCAGCTCGTACTGCTTTTTGCCGCAGCTGGGACCAGCATCCACCAGCTGCTCAGTTTGGACATTGGAGTTTCTGTGGACATAGTGACGAAGTAAAAGGACTGACCCAGTAGTAGGCAGGTCGAATGCATTGAAAGCACTTGCTTTTGCCTCTACCCAAAAGGGCTGTAGCGATGCAAGGCTGCTTTGCCCATCTCTCAAAACCCCAATCACCTAGGTGGACCCAGCTACCACAAAAAACGGTGTAAGTTCAGTCGATGTATTAATGTTGATGTAATAAGTTGTGGTTCGTTCCACATCAACATAGAAGGGCTCCTGGTTCACGCTGGCTCCACCAAAACAATCACTCCACTGAACATGTGGAACTTCTGGATATCCCTATGAGCCCCTGGTTCAAATCATCCTAGGTTCAAAAATCGCTCCACAGGACAGTTCAACCTATGCAATCCTTCCATCCATTCTGCTCGTTGTCAGGCCCAGCAGCATATTTCTTGTTGATGCTCCCAAGGTCGCCCAGGCGTCCATACACGCCGCTGAGCCGTCCAGCCTGTGAGGGGCTGGCGGAAAAGAGATGCCTGGTATTTCGACGCAAAAGCAACAAGAAACGCTTTCCAATAGACATCCTTAGTGGGGATCTACTCTTCTAACTATTTGGTGGTCTATATTCTATCCCTAGGGATCCAGCCGTACCTTCTCAGAAGGTACGACTGGGCCCTCCTGGCACCTACATACATAGTCTCCAAACACCGTACCTGAGAAGGTACGACTGGATCCCTAGGGAACAAACCAGACAGCTCTTCCGGCTCTTCTGGCTAGAAAGTATATTCTTTATCTTCGCAAGCCAAGCACAAGTTGACAAATAGCAAGAGGGTATTCGATATCATTTGTGCAAAGATGTGCAAATTTGGATCTAGCCCACGCCAACCAGCAGAATCACAAATTCTAAGCGAATTCTTCATGCCAGGAGTTCCAAGAGGGTGGTTTCTAGTCCCATCCGAGTGGATGTTCTGGGCACTCCTATCCTCCAAGTTCGGCACCTAACTCCATGAATCTGCTGCTTCTTCCTGCCTCTTCCCCCATGCCTCCACTCTTCCCCTCCGATTTTTTCGCCCTCTCCGACGGCGAAAGAAAGAGGCGACCCGGGGGCGTTCACCGCGTTCACCGCCTTCGCCTCGGCGTTCACCGCGGTAATGAGCCGCCCGCGGAAGTGCTCCTGCGGGACGCCGATCAGGGTTCGCGGAGAAGGTGGGTTTCTATGTCGGGGTGTCTAGTAATTCATGTGTTTCGGAGAAACATCATTAGGCTTGCAATACACTTCGGTGACTTGGTCCTCAGCACTTCCGTTCACCAAAACTAAAAACATCGATACACATTGTGAATACAGCGTTTTTTGAGGGGTTGAAACCCAGCGACAGAGGTTGAACCAAAACATATCTGAGGTCTCACCACCCCATTGATTATATATTGAGGTCTCACCACTATCTAAAGGTTTGAACAACAAAATATGTGTAGCAATATCCCAGCAGTTCCACCTCAGTGTGCTCTTCTCCATGGCGGAAGGGATATAAACCATTCATGGACCCAAAAACCGTCTCACCAGCCGTACTCCGGTCCAGTCGGACGTGTCGTTCCAGGTCTCACCACCCAGCTCACCTGTTCGAACTCGCTTTTGGCCTCCTCCGCCTTGCTGCGCGCCTGAGCCACCTCCTTGGTGACCTGACAGGCGGCTTCACCCGAAATCGGTTTTCGACATCTGACCTGAAGGAGGCGGCGAAGGGAACAAGTTGGAAAAAAAACATCAAACACCGTCAAACACCCGCCTAGGCTTTGGATAGATTTACAGCAATAAGGTTTCAGGCGCGTGTAACCTTGGGAACTCCGATAGGGCCAAGAGCCAGAATATATACTTTCAGTGGTGGCGAGACACTCATGAAACAACAAAAAACAGCAGCTGTCTCTTTCTCAGACTTACCATCAAAGGACTTCTTACCCCCACATCAAGGCTTTTCGTGTCTGCGGCGGGTAATAAGATCATGAGCTTACGAGGAGGGTTCGACCAAAAATCAAGTCATTGAACTCATGCACGACTAATTGAAGAGTTCTGTTCAATACAAAGACACCCCAAAAGATAGACATGTTAATCTCCACTAAAAATGTATTGTAAACCGTTTCTACCTATTTGGGGATCACTGTACACTTTAATGGCAATTTCCAGCCTGGTGACTGTCCCACAAAGTGTGTACATGGCCAAATCCAAACATCAGAAACAAAGGTGTCCGTGCGAATTGGTCGAGCTCCTCACTGAATGACCCTCCCATTCACCGTCGGTGGGCTTGCGCATCCGCCCCACAGCCCGGACCGGCCTGCTCCATCTGCGAGGTCACCTGCGAGACGCGTTCCTTGGCATCTGCCACCAACTTCCGGCGCTCCTGCAGCGCACCGTGCGGCTTGAGGCGCCCAGGCGCCCAGCGCGCCAGCAGGGAGGTGCCGGGGTGGGCTTAAGGGCTCGGAGCCCACCGCGCCGGCGCGGAGGGGAAGAGTCACATGCTACCCATCCTCAGCTGCTGTAGCTAAGTCAGTCCCATGGAGTGGAAAGTGGTTCTTCCAGGGGTGAGGATGGACATGGATGCGGGCCAGGCCCGTTGACAGGTCTGGAGTTTCTATAGATCATGCCAATGAGTCGGACGGTCCTGCCGTCCTAGTGTTGTGACGTGCAACGATCGGAACTCAGTGCATGCGACGATCGGATTGGATGGAGCCAAACTCCGGATCAAATCATCAGTTGAGCAGGGAAGTCTGTCTATTCAAGCCAAACACTCCATGTATTTGGAAGAGTTATACACAGCAGACATATATTATTACCCCATTTATGACCCCTATATAGTCACATTCCAGTCTGAAACAGCCATATACAACTTTCATCAACTTTCAGTAAATTCTGAAGGTAGGTCCTTCAGCATTCAACGTGTAATTACTGACGGTCAGTTCCCTAAAACAAACAGTTATTCTATTTCCTGGTCTTTCCACCGTTCCTCAGCCCCCCCAGCCCCAGCCCCACCAGTCGGCTTGGGAAAAAGAAAGCGCGAGAGCTGGTCGCTCAGGTGTCTTGACGACCAACTCAGGTGCCTTGAGCATCTTCGCTGCATCTTTGGACTCCTTGCGAACGGAGAGGAGTCCAAAACGGAGACCGTCTGCTGTCGATCGCCGGAGCGGCCGAATGGATTTGGGAGCGTATTTAAACGGTTTGCAGGGTCCCTGGGTTGCAACCAATCGTCGGAAAAACGGTACTGATATCACTTGATATCACATATGTATATTGTATATATATATATGGTTGGTATATGTAAAATGTACTGTTCATCTGTTTGAACACGCATGAAACAAAACAAAAACAGTTTCACACAGGTGTTGACTATCGATGAAGGCATGCAAAACTGGTGGAAACACCTCCTGGAGGTTTTGTGACCACTGTCTTGTTGTAGACAAAGGAAGTCAAAGCAATCGAAGGGGGAGCCACCATCCTAAGAGTCCTGTATTGCTACCAAGCAAGCGACACCTTGTTTTGCAGCGCTGGCTCTCAATAAGGCTCGTGGTTGTTGGTGTAGCTGCAGTGAAAATAATGTAAGCAACAGCCAGCAGGGCCAGCAGTGTCGTCAATGTTCAATGCTTTTCATCTTCCCAAGCTAGTTGCCTGAATCAGGAACCTTGCAGCCGCTCCTGCTCGCGCTTGCTGAGCTGCTCTCGGCAGTCGTTGCTCTCCTTCTTCAGCTGTCCGATCTGCTCCGTGGCCTCAAGACCGGGTCTGCGGGAGACTCCGAATTCACCCAGGTGCTCTGTATATTCAGTGTCAGAATTCACCAGTGTTGGGGGATGTTTGTCTATAAGGTTTTGAGGGAAAGTGGGGGAAAACATTAGCATCTTCTGAGAAGCCAGTACGACAGGTAATTGTGGGATCCCTCCGTCTTGAGACCCATTTGGCCTACAAGTAATTCAGAGTTTAGAGGTTAGGTGTTGAAGTGCGATTTGCCTGCGATGGTTCAAGAACATCGAGTATGTCTAGATCAAAGCTGGAATGGGGATGGCTCCAAGGGGAGGTATCCCCAAACTGAAGTTGGGTGAAGTTGGTACTAGAAAACATGCTAAGAACTGGAGATTATGCATTCAAGGTTCAGATTGACGCAGTTGACAGCAGTTGATGTCTCTCCTTTTTGGTTCGTCAAGCATGACAAAGACAGGACACGTTCATCACAAATGGAGGTATTTGGTTTTGACATGTGTTGACATGTTTTATAGATGTGGAGCAGCGCAGCTAGCAGAAGGACGCTGCAAGAAACATGAGCGAAGTCACAAGTTAGACTACCACATGGTCCTGTCGTCAAGAACTACATTGCCGGATTCTGAGACTTGTGATTCATCCTCTCTTGCTTTTCCAAGTGAAATAGTGTCTCACAAAATCGATCCTACTCAAACATGCTAACACTTCACCAAACACCCACGCACACCTACCCGGGCAAAGCATGAACCACGGTGCCCAAACGACCTACTGCCCAAACGACCTCGTACCGAACCTCAGGTTCGGTACGACTTGACCCTCCAAACCTACACAACAGTGTCGAACACATCACCGTACCTGAGGTTCGGTACGACCGGAATTGCAGTCAGGACATCGCCTCGCGGCACATCCAACCGGCCTCCACCTGCTTCTTCCGAAGGAAGCCGGCCTCCGCTTGAGCGAGCTCCACCACCTGCTTCACCTGAGTTCAGGCCGCACATCGCTTCCGGAAACCATGGAGGTGGTTCGTGCTATCGGAAAGCACGAGAAGACTTGCGAGAGGTGCAAATCATTGGCCAGAGTGAGGGAGCATGAGAGCCTCATCCCGAAAATGAAGTGAATCACTGTGATCGACATCGCATCCCTCAAACTCTTGTTGAACCGCCATGATCGACATCGTTCCAGGACCTCCTTCAAAGTGACCGCAACCTGAGATCCCGGGTCACGGACCGGTCATGGGTCACGGACCGGTCATGGGATCACGGACTACTGAATTTCTGCTGGTTCATCGCCTTGGATGACATGGATGAAACCTTGGAACTTCTGCGCCTTTGGAAGATCCAGGTCTCACAGGTCTTACACTCCCCCCCCCCGGGTGGTCTCGTTGGGATCCGGTCCCAAACCGCCGGTTTGCGTCGTCTGGCTCCGGCGCCTCGGTGAGCTTCTTCTGAAGTGGCCTTGGCTCGAGAAGCCTCCCCATGGGGCATCCTGGGCAGCTACTATATTTGTACTAAGGAACCAGGGTTTCGTCCTAGGTCTGTGGATTGAGTCTTTGGAACCATTGGTTGCCAGCTGCAATAACTTATATAACTGGATCCACTGAGATCCCTCAAACAAGGATGGAAGCTGAGCACCCCCCCCGAAGGCAGAACATGCTCTTGCCAAAGGGCCGAACCCTTCCACGCAGTGTAGGAACGGTATACTAACCACTCATCCAAAACACTCCATGTAGGGCATATTTACCGACATTGGGGTGGCTTCAGGGGGTGAATGTAGGTAAAATTAATATATATATATATTATATATGTATATGTCATACATACCATTGTACACATTCTCCGGGATTATTTATGATTCTCTCAAGATTCAGTGAACACTCAGTCCACAGACCTTAAATCCTCGACCTCCGCCTTGAATCTCGGTCGATCCACACAACACCCGTGACGTCCTTCGTCGAACAACTCTGTGTTTTGGCCGGTCTTGTCGCCCAAAGCACACGAGCTCCTTCTCTTTGGCTTCCTTTGCCGGACGCAGCTTCTCTGCCTTGCCCTTCAGGCCCTGGCCGTGATTGTCTTGGTGTCTCATCGATTTTACCAACAGGGAAGATAACACATCACACCTTATTAAGTAAAACCAGGTTCATGCCCACACAAAAAAGAAGAACACGTGGCCCAGACAGGTCGGTGGTTCCCTCGAAGAGCTTCACGGCCCCCACCGACCATGCCTCGTAGAGTTTCTCCAGCTTGGCGGCCTGGCTGGCGCGGAACTTCTCAGTGCTCTCCAGCTCCTGTGGAACCGTGGGCGCGATGGGTGCGCGGGGCGCCACGGGCGTATACTCGCTCCATGGAGCGAGTATACGCCGCTGTACGTTCGAAGATCATATTAGTGAATCTATGAAGTATCTCATGCATATAGATCTTAGTTACTTTTGGTGGGCCTTCACGTGTCGGTGATGGGTCTTTTGATTCTTCATGATGTGCTGTCTCACCTCACGGAACCAGTATGTGTTGTTTGACTCACCCCTCGGTGTTTGATGCATCCGTCCTTCCAGTTGCAGTCTTCCAGCCCGAGACCAGGTCGGGAGGCGAATACGTTCTGGCTCTTCTGACGTGGGAGACATTGAACAACACCATGTTGTGGCCTTTTCAAGGACCCAACAACAAAAACACAATCAAATACAGCCGCCTAAAAAAGATACAAATGGATTAATCAAGGTGGATAAGTGAGATTTGGTGGATTCACCACAGGTAGATCCGCCAGGTGTGGTCCGCCATGCTTCCCATCCCAACTTCTCCGGTCCTGCTCGCGAATGGGAGCATCTGCCCGCAGCTTCTCCGCGTCCTACGGAGACCGCTCGAAATCCTATCGTGTGGAGTTGGATGGTGGAAAGTGAGGATGATGTTTTCCACCTGGGTCTTCCACACACATCGTATATAAATATGTATAGAGTATATGGATTAAGGGGATGTTTGATCAGCTTGCACTTTTCACCGGCGCTTGAATCTCACCCAGCCAGGACAAAACCACCCAGCCAGGCGTATTTTCCGGGGCTTCCCGGCTTCCCTATTAAAGCACACACCTCCCAGGACCTTCCCAGTGACCTCTTTGGAGTACCTGCTTGCGACCCGAGGCCGTGACCGAAGCAACCAGGAAAACAAGTTCCGTCACGAACCCCCAATAACCCTGGCTGGGTTAGTTCTGGTCTATTTCCCGAACCTTTTTGGGGGTGGTTGTGTGGGATCTCTCACTATTTCAGCTACACACCCAGGTGGACTTCCCTATTCTTTTCAGCCCGTCCTGGTGGAGAGAACTAACAAGTCCGATGGCCAAACAGAACCATGCCCTAGTGGATGCAGTTCTCATCCAGTCGCCAATCATGAACCTGAATTACCCCCGATTTGGAGGACCAAGCATCAAGAACAAGCCCTATGGTTCTAGGTGTGTACAACTTCTTCTGGTGATCCAACAAAAAATCAGTGATTTGTTGCCAAACATAAACACGTGGGGCCTTGTCCGACCTCAAAATCCATCTGCATTCCCCTCGCCTTCACCAACTGCTTGGCACGTTCCTGTTCCTCTTCTGAGGCCTGTGAAACACGCTGAACGCGGTTTCAAGGCGCAGGGCACATGTGCCGAGCCGGATGCCAGGCAGCCATAATATAAGGTTCAATAAGGTATCATAAGGAATCAGTGTAGGAGTGATTTAAACATGCTCCAAGGATATATGATATAATCATCAGGCTGGATTGATATAACAACATGATAAACAACCTCCACAAATGTTCTTTGGAGCTAAGGTACAATTTGTTTTATCTGATCCCTGGAACGCTTGGAATCTCTGGATCCGTGGTCATGGGGCTGACTGATGTCTGGTTGTTTGAGGCCATGATCTTGTCGTTTCACATGTCCACGCAAGTGAAGCCGTTGAGAACGATGTGCAGCGAAGGCTTCAAGGCTCCATTGACTGGACCAGGCTTTAAAGCTCCATGCACCTTCGGCGTCCTCGCTACATGTTCTCACTCCTTTGGTGTGTGAAACATCTACAGTACGGTCGAGAGTCGCCCAGTTGTTCGAAGTCTCACAGCCGAAAGGGTCGATTCCGAGACCATCTCCCTCGAGTCCCGCGCCCGCGGGGCCCGCGCCCCGCTTGCTTCGCTGTGGCATCTCGGGCCCCCATATATTGGTTGATCCAGCAAGGCAGTGGACCAGCACTTCGATCTGTATAGGAAACACATCGTTGGACCAGCATGTTGTCCCGAGTCCCAAGCGGATCTCCCGCGGATCCACGGCAAAGCCAAAGAAGCTAAGCCAAAGAAGGCACCCTATGCCGCATGCCTGTGCTATAAAGCAATAAACTCAAGCCTCTGGTGACTTCTGGTGACCTCAAGAAACCGTGGACACGTGGTTTCTAACACGTGCCTCTCCCACCCAGGCATGTGTTTCTTTCTCTGTTTGTTCTGGTTTCGGAATGGTCAGGATTCGATTGGCAACGTCCCCCATGGCCTGTACCAGCTTCTGGATCTTCTGCTCTTGAAAAGCGATGTCCTCGGTGTATTTCACATCCTGGCGGGCGATTTGGGAAGCGATGTTCGGTCCGGAACGACTGGGGACGTTCGCTTAGGCTCCAGAGGAACACATCGTTTCAGAGGTTCGATGGCGCAAGCTACCCAAGATCGGTGGTTGATATGGACCCTCATAATATATATATATATATTTATATAATATATAATATATATATATATATATCACGAGCCCATATAATTATATATATGTTTATTTATTTGGGTGCCAGTGCCATCGATTCTGAAATTACTGCAAAACATATTGAACACCAAGGAAACCCAGCATACCCCCGGAGTTGGAGGTCACCCAACTTCACAGATCAAAACGTCTGTCCGTACTTCACCCATGAATCAACCCATCTGCATATGGCCCCCACCGGGGTCCACGGTGTTTCGAAATGGCCTAATCACCGGATGGCGCCGGGGAACACGCGTCGGCAGGTGCATCACCATCTGCACGCAGATGCGTGCATCTGTGTGACGGCGTCGCGTATCGAACATGCGTTAAAAGAGGACCTACCTACAGTACACAGCATTACTCCCTAGGGCTCCTGGCCCATCTCCTCAGGTTCGGTGGTTAGACCCCCCTGGCATCCACCCCTGGCCCATCGAACCTCAGGAGGTGGTTGGAGCCCTGGGGACTGAATCCCTGGGCCCTCTTTGGCGTTGGACCTGGCACCGAAACACAGGGGTCTGGACCCGAACCAAACGCTTTCCATTGGACAGGGGCCCAGATTCTCATTAGAATGATGTGAAAGCTGACACCACATGGGCTTCAAGAATCTCAGCCGTCTTGGCGTCTGATCCCCCTCCACATGCCCCTGAAAGGAAATTACTCATAGTTTTCATGCTCGGCATGTGCCCCTGTTCCCAACCAAACCCACCTCTGCTTCGCTGGAACTCCCCACTTGTGAGCACCCAAACATAGCAAAAAAACCTTGCTGTGCCCCCTCCTGGCGCTCAAATTCCTTGAACTCTTCCGCTTTCTTCTCCATCTTTCCTTTGATGCTGTTGTAGTCCTCAACCCGAATCCGAGCAAATGAGAGCTAAACTCAAGAGTTCTCAAAGTTCATTCAACAACTGAATGATTCCCGATTCCCAAGCCCACCTGTCTGAAAAACATTCAAATAGGTGAACTATATATATATATATAGTCAACGTGGTGAGCATCAGGAATGATTGAGTTTTTGTGGCTGGAGGCCTCCGGGGACTTCTGCAAGCCAAAAAGAACCAGCAATCAGGTGTCCAAAAGCCTCAGCGAACCAAATACGAAGGGCGCCCAAAAGCACTAAGCTCTCTGCCGGCTGGAGGGCTGAGGCAACAAGAGCTGGACACAAAGTACTTGGCGTGACTAGCTGAAGTGATGTTCTGGACTAAGACATAACTTCCGCAACAAATTGTTCTTTGGAAGATGATATTGATGGTGCATAATTACTATGTTATTAAGATTTACTAAGGATATACAGCCTTCTGATCACGGAAGCGGAGAACACATACGTGATGTGCGCCTTTGCAGGAATGTGATGCGTTCCTGTACTCCTAAAGAAGATTCCTTTCATGCTGATGTATACTTCAGCAATGCGCTCACCCTCACTGCATGCGGCGTCGTTGCAGCATCCACCGCATAAATAGACCACGAACTGAGGTCCTTTGACCTATAATGTACACATGTGGGGATGAGTTAGGTCACCTCACCCTGCAAACCATGGAAGGCTGACATTACTTTGGGAGGAATCTGTTCATTTGGGGGTTTGACCCACCCATGTGCTCAGCTCCGATGCGCCTTCAAGTGGTTGTTGTGCTCAGCTTCGATGCTTTTCACCTCCTTCCTCGACATCGTCGATGCGGGTTGAGGACTGATGACAAAGATCACACGTTCAACGTGGAGAAAACATGAGAAAACCACTGACCTGTGTTGCCACGTGAACTCGGTGCTTGGATTCCCATTCTGAACAACATGGTACCAGCAGTTCCAAAGGGGTGCCTATTAAAAGGATAAGGGTCCCCACACTTCCACTCACTGAATGGGACCAGGGATTATGGTCACCATTCCTTTGGAACTGCAGGTATCACACATTACGTTATTTGCACACAGCACTTCACAGTCACATTCCCCGCAAAACTCAAATGAGGCGTTTTGGACTCGGGGCCGGCGGGCAAAAACGCCTCCAAGCTACGTGTGACGGGCCGAGCGGTGGTATCACTGGAAAATCCGGTGATCTCATGGTCCATATCCCAAACACTCCATGTATATCCATGGGACTGGCATATTTACCAATCTGTTGGGGTGGTTGAAAAGGGGTGAATGTAGGTAAATATGCGAGTGCGCAGAAACCACCTCTTAAGCTCCTAACACCACCTGTTGGAAGGTCCTGGCATATGACTGTGGGTCATGGCATCCGGGTTGCCCGGCTATTCACCCTGGTAGGCGGACATCCCCAGGTAGTCCATTCTGGGAAAAAACAGGGCCCTTGAGTGCCATGACCCACAGCCATATGGCTGGGTCCTTCGTGTCTTGCCATTCACCTGCGACATGTCCAAAAATCACGTCCAAGGCAACGTCTGCAGAGTCTTCACATGTTGCACCTCTCGGGCAGCTACTGGTTCTAGGAGAACAAGTGACATCCTATCCTCTGAAACCCACAGCCCCTTCCTACCCCTCGAAACCTTCTACCCGGCTACTTCTCCAACATGTGAGTTTGGCTGCAGGCATCTGATCTTGATTATCTTGATTCACGTGACCCCCTGCTGGAGTCCATGTGATTTGAAAGAATGAAGTCACCACAACCAGGTCACGTGCTTCGGTTTGCACACTTGCACCATAACAACGACTTTTTGGTGTCCATGGGTTTTTCAGGGACCCACTCCGTTCAGCTTGGTGGTTTAGAGGACAAACTTGTAAGGAAAGAATCTTGTTTTCGGACACCCGAGTCAAAACCAGCAGAAGTTCCACCATGTTCAGTGCACACTCTCTGCACCGCTTCTCCACCAGTGTTCATCTTCTCCACCGCTTCTTCGAGTCTGCTACGTATAACATCAGCCCACTTAGGTGGTGTATGTTGGTGGTATACCTAGATACCTTCTGAGGAGGCCCGACGTGAGAATGCTTTGCTTTCACGCACCCTCAGCTGGAGCTTCAGCTGTCTCAGCTGATTTCAGTTGCCAAGTGTCTCGAAGCCTTCCATCTTCTTCTTGTGCTCTTTCCTTGGCACGACCACAACGGATTCGCGACTCACGACACGAACGCCGATATACTCATAACACTAGCTAGGCTATGACACTGCAGACCGCACGCACCGTACTCACCGTACTCACTCAGTCCTTGGCGGCCCTGGCCCATCTGGCACAAACACCACAAGTTGCAGGCTGGAACATAATATGAGGCCAAATCAACACAACGACACGAACGACCGTCATTGCACCACTTTGCAGTTTGAAGCCCTGGAAGAGACCCACATGGAACCTGGTTTGACAACCGGGTTGTATAGAGACGGTATCGCATGGTAACACTTTCTTGCAAGTGGAGTCATACAGCGTACTTTGATGCATTGATTTCTCGCAAACCCTGATACGTCATCCTCCAAGGGCCTTGGCCCCCCCGTGCTTTTTGGTTCCTTGGTGGATGATGTATCATGGATGCAGCGCAAGTGTCACAAGTGTTTCGGTCTCGGACTCAAATGGCATCATGGCACCGGGGGACGGTTGACCACCCAACATGAACAGGATAGACTGGGGAGGTGAACCCACCACAGTCAACCGTGCTCCGGGTGCCAGCTCCTCACAGCCAGCTCACAATTCACGAGTGAGTCAAATTTGGAGGCTTCTGGTATGCCACCCCTGAAGTCATGGATTGATACCCATCTAACAGCACCACGAAATCATAACAGAAAAATCACAAAACAACAAACAGATTTAATATGATTTATATAATCAATATATCGAAATTGGAAGGACAAGGGACGGGTCAGTCAGAAAATTGTGCAACAGCCATGACTCCGACTCTCCACGGTATCATGAGAGTTGCATGGAGCTCTTTTGCTCACTATATTCCTAGAATATGACACAATATGGTACTGGTTTCAGAGGTTCGATGGCGCAAGTTACCCCAAGGTCGGTGGTTAAAACATGGAGCCCCATCTGTCGGATAGACTGTAATAACATGACAACTCTGAGCATCCATTTCGGCAAGTTTGACGCTCCAAACAGTTCCACGACCTGGCCCCATTGGAAGACCAGTTTCCTGTAATGTACAATGTAGACTCTTGACTAATAGGCCCACCCCATTTGGATGATCGGACTTGCGGACTGTCTCTCCAGACGCGCCTCCACGCTCCCCCTTACCATATCTTATGGTGGGTTGAGGTGGACGATGAAGGTGAGACGCTACAAAGGACCCTGAACCTGTCTGTACACTACGAACGAGTAGACGGCACTCCCTGGGATCAAGGTATGTAGGCGTCGGACCCATGTGAATTTTCGTGCGAACAAATTCCTAATTGGGGCCAGGGTGAGTGACCTCATCGAAGCTCTTTTTCCTAAACATGTAGTATCTTATATGCTGTGTGAATTTTTCCCTCTTTTGCATTGCGATTTCGGGCCAGTTTGGCCACGGCAGAGTATCTAATCTAGTCGGGATAGGGAGGGGCAAAATCTCGTTATGGAAAGGCGGATTGTGGTTGATCGTCATTACAAGATCCTGCATGTATCGATATGTTTCGATGGCATTCGGCAAACCAGGGTGGCGCGAGACTCCAGACTCATGGTACCTAGAGAAACCTAGTCTTGTAAGGCTGGTGGTACCTTGTAGTTTGTAGGCTGGGATAATTTTAACTCTCGAGAACGTCTGGATATGCTGGAGGATTAATCGAAAATTTTCTGCAAGAACTCGTATGGATTTTGACTTAACTGGCTGTAGGGTCGCTTTAATCTCATGATATTCAAGGATTTCACTTCCTTAATGGGGTTAAAGAACCTCATCATAAGGGGGGTTTTAATAATCAAGAAACTATATTACCAACCATTGGAAGGCCTTTCTCAGTATCGTATATTCAATTGCTGTCCATCACCTGTGTCATGAACAAAAGAGCCACTTTCTTCATGACTCCCGAGCCATTTCCCCGGAGAAAAGGTAAAGGTTCACCGGTTCTTGTTGAAAAACAGTTTGCCCAATGCCCCTCAACAAGTTTCTATATTTGTTTCACGTGCCCTGAAAGGCTCGGAGAACTTGGTCATCCAGGTGACCTTCGTTTTGGCCACAAACGCAACCCCCGGTCACCAGAGCTGGACACAGGAGAACTCTCGTTTCTTTCCCGGTTTGACCGGGACGAGTACAGGACCCCGCCGAGTGGCATGTGACCTTGCAAGACCTGGCGAGCTGTGACCGGGAAAACGGACTTCGGCATGAGGAGATCCAAAGGTATCGGTTCAAAGGGATGCCTCATCAGCTTCTTTGATGGACAAAGTGAGACCTATTTTAGATATAGATATAGTGAGACCTAATTCTAGAGTAAACCGTCAACCAACTTATCCCCAAAATGGGTTCACGAGTGTCCGGGAAAAAACAGTAAGACCAGAGACAGTGGGACGGGCGTTCCGGGCGGGATGGCCTTGTGTTCGTCCTCCAGTGAACCCAGGTTCGCTTGGCTCTGGCGGACTTGCGTCTGCGCCAGTAAGGACCTCAGGAGTAGCGGTGAGACGTTCTGGGACAAGGATGTTTTTGAACACTTCAGGGGATGTTTTCGAAAGCAACAAGTGGACATGGCTGGATGTCATACTGTCATAATACTAGCCAGTAAAGGAAGAGAACACCAAGGGACGGTTTCTTGTGGACACTCTTGTAGGACACTCTTGTGGCACAGTGTGGGACACTCTTAATTTTGAGCTTCGAGGTAGATTCATTGCAGCCAAAAGCTTTGAGCCGAGCTAATGATGATCTAAACATGCACTGCATGTTTTAAAACAGATTGGAGCTCACAGCTTCCAAAAGCAAAACTATCCGTACCCTCCCCAAAGAAGCCAACCCCCCCCAACAAAAACACCTCCGAAACCCAATTCATCCCTGATAAATTTCTTGTGCTGGGCGGCGTGCTTGTTTCCAAAAATTAGACATCCGGAAGTGTTCTTGTCCCTCTTTGGGTGCCCAACTGCGACTTTTTGAGAAAATGACTGATTCATGAGCACTTCTTGGATTTAACTGGAATTGTTTGGGTCAAACCACATGACCACTTAGACCACATGGCCCACGAATCTACAACCAATTGGGCCTTACATCTTGTAGTTTGATGGTTTGGATGCTCGACGCCTCAGGAAGCTGAGGTGATTCTACAACTGTTTTGGTCCAAACCTATTTGTGAAGTTTGCGGTTCGTTCGGACGTTCGGAAAATCCGGATATCAAACACAAAGAAACACATGCAATTGCCAGCCGCAAACACAGACATATGATTCAGTAATTGGGGTTGAGAGCGCTGACATTGACAACCAGATTTCTCACATCGTGGACAATGGAGAGCAATGAGGCCATGGTTCGGCACCGGTGCCGGGCAGCGCCGCTGTCTCTGCAGAAACTGCTAGAGTCACTGTTGCTGACTCGCCTCCTCCGTTCTGCGGAATCGTTGCCAGAGGTGCTGGTGCGTTCAATCGCCAGTGTTTACGGTAGTGACGAAGCAGCATCACTGAAGCAACAGCTTCGGTCAAAGGAGGTTGCAGCTCCAAACCCAACGCAGCTATCACATGCAAGACTGAAATTGGACATGCTGTTGATGAGTGTGAGGCGAGAACAACTAGCTTCTTCTTCAGATCAGGTGTTTGTTATGCTTTCATCGGATTCTTCTCCACAAAGCCTTGACTTTTTGGTCACTGTGGAGGATCGGATCAAGAATCCTGGGTTGGTGGTGGACGCATCGCCGCAGGAACTTGCTCAGTATAGCTTGTCAGGGAACCTCCAGACCAGCACTTTGCCACCGATGGTGCTAGGGTCTGGCAACTCTGACACCCCGGCAAAGTTTGAAGCTTTGATGAGATCAGTCATGCTTGATTGTGGGCACAAGCGCTTGCCTGCATATGGAGCATCAGTTGTGGGATTCTGTTCAGACTTTGGCGTCGAGAGCCACTTGACACAAGTACCTTGACTTAGGATTCAGGATTGGTTTAGATTTAAATCTCAGACTCTCAGGCTGTAAGACCGTAAGCCTTCAGCCTCTGCGAAGATCAAACGTAACAGCATAACCATGAATGTTTGAGTTTCATTCATAAGCAATTGCCATGCTGCAGGCCATGGTTAGTAGGTTGGAGGCCATGGCTAGTAGGTTGGACTCTATCGCTAGTAG